TCCAGAACGGCCTGCAACTTACCTGAATCTTCACTTAGTAGCACAGTGTCGTCTATATTCTCTAGATCATGCAGGCTGCCGTTTGGGAGCAAATCTATGCCGCTATTTACGCATGAAGACAGCGCTGTATCCAGAATCGTCGCCAAGTTGAATAGGAAATTTTCCGATTATACCAGTATTACACATTGTAAAGACAACACAGGAGCGAACGAGCTCGTTTGTGGTGGTTTATCTTCAGGCTAATGAATCACAATTTATCTTAAAGTGTCTTGTAGGAGCAAAAAATCATGGTAAAAGGAGAAAGATAATTAGTATTCCAGTTGAACGACTGGTTGCTCATTCCTTGATCGTCATGTATACGCATTTCTTTCGTGTCACTACGTTTGGGTGGGCGGATGACCGTATCAGGTACGGTGTTGCTGGTCATGGAAGACCGAATGTTCTTACCAAATCCTATTATGGGTATAGAGGGGATTACGTACTCGTATTTCGATCGCTTCTTGTGTGACCATAATGTGACTCCTAATACCCTTAGATCGAACTAAGTAGAGGTCAAAACACCTGGGTCACAGTATCCCTGTGGTTTGACTTCACTCGGTGTGAAATGATCGAACTGTTGATGCTCCTAATAGGAATAGGTATAAAGACAAGACCGGGAAACCTTGAGGAACACTGCTCACCGTGGCTAACGCAGGTTAAAATGTGCCGTTATCTCGGATTCGACTCCGACTGAAATCGTAATATCGAAATAAATTTCTGAGGCGTATCCTTCAAGCAGAGGCAGCGCTGGAATATAGAGCTGTCTTTGTTCCATTGGTCATTTCCCGGCCGCATCCCTAACTTTTAATCCATTTCGCCAGAGAGCTGCTAATTTGTAAAATGATGTTCTTCTTTATATCTCATATACATCATTAAGCTGGTTCTAGCTCAAATATCCTCTTCAGAATCCCATGTACGATAGATCTGATAGTGAGATATATCCCTTTTCTTGTGTTGGATACTGGAAAAAGTTTATGGGGTGCTCTCCCCCCGTCACTTGTCTGATTGAGGATTTGCTCCTAACCGGGAGGTATGTGATGGCAGAGTAATTCGTGCACAGTACACGTTCCTTTTGTTACCCATCGGTTCCCGGTGTAAATAACCACTTACTGTGCACGTTTTTAACGTCCTTGAAGTACGTTAAACATCCTCGCGGAGTTGACAGACATCGACAGTCCCAAAACCCTACGTTGGTTTATTCTATTGTCCTGCTCTTGCGTTTCATACACTTTTATCGGAGGTTCAAATATGCACACTGCAAGTGATGGTCATAGACATTATTTTCATGTATCCCTGTATCGTTGCTAGATCTGTGCGTCTAATCTCGCTATGTTGGATTCAATCTGACGCTATCGCTTGGGTTTTGTTGTTAACTGTAATGGTACTAGTTTAGAAACTGCATCCAATGTGAACGGTGCACGCGGTAAATCTCGCATCTAACTCGTTTCTGAGAAATGTGGAATAGTTCAAATAATCCAGTCTTGATAATCTGTGCCTCCCAACCTAATCAACTGCTCAGAAGCTCACTCATCTCTTCTACGTCCTAGGTTGAAGCCGCTGCTGCGCGTTTGGGTCTGAGAACTGAAACAAGAAAGTTGCTGTTCCATACGCTTGTATCCACTCCAGGGGGACCGGATGCTACCGCTACCGCGTTGGTTAAAGCATGTGGTGGTGGTACCCACGCTGGATCTGCTTCCCGAGAGCGTGAAATGATACAGATTGTGGTGCACTGTCTTATGGCTGAAAGTCCATTCAACCGTTTCTATCCCCGCGTTCTTGGTAGTTTAATCAACCTACATCGCCGGTTTTTGGTAAGCCATTCAGTACATATACTGGTCCACAGATCTATTTTTCTGTTACATGGGATTGTGCTCGTCATTTTGAAATAGACTTTATTTTATCATAATTATGAACTTGTAAACCTAGAACTTCAAGTGACCGATAATAAACACCCGTAATTTAGCTGGCCCCAGTCCCAATCAACACGCATAAGCAAGCCTGAATTTTTCTAGGATTCTTTTATAGTATGTGCAACTTCTGATTAGACATCTCCAGATTACTCCTTCTTCAATCAGCCTCGCCGTTTACTTTTAATTCCTGCATCACTTGTCAATTTTTTTTTCTCAGCCGCATTTCTCGGCCAATGTAATTCTACCACTGGGCAACACGTTCCCACCAAAACCACGGGAACTTAGGACAAAACAAATCTAACATGCTTGCAAAAAACTGATCCATTCATCGTTTGATCTCTCAAAACTATATGCGCAGCTAATTTCATCGTTCGAGGACAGTGTAGTGACATCCTCAACAAGCACAGCCCCTCTATGCAGATGCACACACACCCGTGTCTTGTAAGCCTGTTACCGCTCGTCAATGAATATAGAAAGCTAACTTGTGTTGAAAAACAATGTTGCAATCACAACGAGAAGGGAATACAACGGCTTAGTGCATACTAGCGGTTCTCGCTTGTGTGGATTATAAACAGTACGATCAAAGTGAGTCTCAACCGGGAAAAGCACAGAGCAGTTGTACTCTTCTTGAAACCTCAGTATAAAGCCGTTTTTTGTAACAGGTGGAAACAGTGTTAAGGTTGCACGTTCGAACTCTTTCCACGAAGTTGTTTGATAATTGTTGGTCTTTTGACCAGTTCCGTGATTTAATCATCTTTCTTCTTCTTAACAGATGATGGTAAAGTGTGCCTTTTGGGACGTGCTCAAGAAGACCGAACTGACCGTGGACGCTAAATCCAATGCGGGCCAAGCTCTCGGCTTGTTGGCGCTTGTGTACGATCTTCCTCTGACTGTGCTCAAGGTGCGACTAACCAAGTGTCTGAATCCGTGTAACTGTTGTGCAATTACTCTAACGGCAG